CTTGTTTTTTCCCACAGAGTTTTGCAAATTGTGACTTTTAGCAGTAACATCTAGTGAAACAAATTTACCATTGACTTTTTGATAGAAACAAGAGTTAAGTTCTCAATTTTTTTTTTTTAAAGATTCATTTATTTATGCATACAGAACTGGGGTATAAGCCAGAGGTGCGGGGGTGGTGAGAGATTTCAACAGAGACAGAGTGGGGAGCAGAATAGGCAGATCGACAAAGTACACTGCTGAGGTGAGCAGAGGGAGGGTCAGGAGAGATCTGCCATGCCATGTGGGTCACCTCCCGGGTCGGAATTGAACTTATGCTGAAGTGGCTTTAACTTGTTAGGGCTGTGCTTTTTAACCCACTGTGCCGCCAGGGAGGGCCAGAGTTAAGTTCTTATGGCATAATTCTGGTCACAGAAACATCATCAAACTAATAAATAAATATGTAAAGTAAATCTAATATTAAAGAATAATTTGTATTCATCCATTTTCGAGACCACTTTATTCCAGAGGCAAGAGCCCATTCTGTAAGCTTAGAAAGCAAGACTAGAATCAACCCACAAAGAGATACCCTGACATTGTGGGATACACACACACACAAACACACACACACTCTTAGACCAGGGCAATTAATGCTTGCCAGGGAAACTAACATGCACATCTTGGAGATGTAGGAGGAAATCAGAGTTCCCCTCTCAAACCCATGTTGACATAAGCAAACTGCATGTCTGTATGTAAACTCCCCATAGTTGTTTTTTCTCATCCTCGTGATTACTGTTGTCATTGAGGTAACACTGAAAAACACAACATTATTTGAGGATTTTCTGTATAAGGCAAGAAAATATCAGAGTGATAATAAAACTTTAGTACTATAGAGTGGTGTAGTAGTGAAAATTTGATTTTATGGGACTCAAATGTCTATATGCTGTACTATTCCATTTATATTATGTCTAGAAACAGCAAAACTATATGGACAGAAAATGGATCAGAATTATCAGGTTTGGGGTTAGAAGCTGTTTTAGAGTAATATAAAGGAATTTTTGTGGTGATGAAAATATTTTATGTCCAGATTGTGTTAGTAGTTATATAATAGTACGTGTTTGTCAAAATTTTTAGGCTGTGCATGTATTAAGAATTATATCTCAAGGAATTTGACTTTAAAAAACTTTTGATTTCCTAATTGTACCTAAATAACTACATTTTCATTAGTATTTTATTAATAGATTTAGACATCAATTTACAATCAAGATAATTTTTGCTATTCTATAATTTCTTTCTACTGCAATTTAGATTAAGAGGTATTCTTCAGAGTGTTCAAGAAATTTTTACATAATGATACCCAAAATGTGAAACATCATTTAATATTTAGTACTTGTGTTTGGTCACATTGCTGCCATATTTTGGATTAAAATCACTGAGTAGGTTAGAAAATAAAAAATATGGGAAAACAACTACCAGCATAATTTGGAGACATGGCTTGTTCATTCCCATGCCACTCCGATAAAACAAATATTATAATAAGCAAGTCACATGATTTTTTTGTAAGTGCCTATAAAAGTTAAT